ATATACATATATATATATATATATTCAGAGCATTGCTACCCAAGTATCAAAGTAATGTTATTTGTCGTCATTTCAATGTCAAAATGACGACATATAATATATAATGGATTGATTTACACCAGGGCTCGCAAGGATTTGCACATTTCGAGCCGACTCCGGCGCGCGACTTCCATCACCGCACGGCCGAGCCGCCGGGGCGCTCATATACCAGAAATATACTAGGAGCACACCTTCCGCCAAATTATTATTGAAATGTTTTTTATTAAATAATTTATATAATTATTAGGTGTACAACTTTGCTTCCGCCGTTTTCCTATAGATGGCTTTAGCGATAAGCGGTGGCCAAAATAAATAGATTATAGATGTCATACAAAAAACTTGGGCATCTGTAAACATAACTCCATAGAAACATTAGTCGATTTGTGTTTACATCATAAAGTTATTCTCGATTGAAAATGTCAGTTTACGAGCCAAATTCTGGTCATTTGCGGGAGGTTTTAATTTTCTGTTTCAATATGAAGAAATCTGCGGCTGAGGCTCATCGAATGTTCTCAAATACTTATGGTGAGGCCGCTATTAGTGAAAGAACGTGTCATGAGTGGTTTCAATGCTTCAAGAACGGTGATTTTGACGTCGAAGACTAGCATAACGGTGGAAGAGAGGTTTTCGAAGATGTAAAATTGGAGGCATTACTTGATCAAGACTCGTGTCAAATTCAAGAAGAATTGACACGATCATTGGGAGTGACTCAACAAGCCATTTTAAAACGCCTCAAAGCCATGGGAATGATTCAGAAGCAAGGAAATTGGGTATCGTATGAGTTGAAGCCGAGAGATGTTGAACGGCGTTTGTTTGCTTGTGAACAGCTGCTTGAAAGGCAAAGACGGAAGGGATTTCTGCATCGCATTGTGACTGAGGACGAAAAATGGGTTCATTACGATAACCCCAAGTGCAAAATCATGGGGAGTTCCCGGCTATGCTTCCACGTCGACGGCCAAACCGAATATTCACGGTTCCAAGGTCATGCTCTGTATTTGGTGGGACCAGCTCGGCATAGTGTATTATGAGCTGTTAAAACCGACTAAAACAATCACAGGCGATCGGTATCGAACGCAATTGATGCGTTTGAGCCGAGCATTGAAAGACAAACGACCGCAATACAACGAGAGACACGATAAAAAGATTTTGCAGCATGACAATGCTCGACCCCAAAAACGTTGCGAAAATGGTCAAGACATACTTGGAAACGTTGAAATGGGAAGTCCTACTTCACCCGCCGTATTCTCCAGACGTTGCTCCCTCTGACTATCACTTGTTTCGATCAATGGCACACGGCCTGGCTGACCAACACTTCCGGTCTTATGAAGAAGTAAAAAATTAGATCGATTCGTGGATCGTCTCAAAAGATGACCAGTTTTTTCGACGCGGGATTCGTACGAAAAATGGGAGAAAGTAGTGGCCAGCGATGGACAATACTTTGAATCATAGATGTATAACTAGTTTTTTAGAATAAAGCCTCGAATTTCGGAAAAAAAACGGCCGAAGCAAAGTTGTACATCTAATACATTATTTATTTAATAATTTATATTATATTAAATAATTTATTAACATAAAATTTTCTATTGTTAATTTATTCATTGTTTTTTAAGGAGATACTGGAGAGACCCAATTATCGACATTGCAGTTTGATAAAAATTTCCGAATTGACTAAATAAAATAAAAAATCCTTTTACAGGATTAAAGTAAA